GTGTAGGAAGGATCATTGCCTTGTGAGATTCTGCAATGAAAGGAGGAAAGCTGTTCCAGCTTGGTTTCTTAGACTAAGGCGAAATGTGCAGAACTATATTTAAAAAAAACAGAAAGTGAAGACTGCGGGAACTTGTAGACTACAGGAACAGAACCCTACTCTGACTTAATTTATTGAACATATAGAGCTCAGTGAAAAAAACATGTGGAGAGTGAACATCTTCGATGCTTAAATCTATTTTATTATTAAGGGATGTGTGAACTTTCAGTTTTGTAAATTAGCAAGGCATCTGCTTTCACAGGCTTCGCACAATGCATTTGCAATCTGCTTAAGCAAGTGTCTATTGAGTGAAAAGTTCAGATCCTCTGAATCCTCTGTGGAAGTGACCTAAATATACTAGCTATAGCAAAGTGTGGCTTCTGAAGTTACTGTATTTGAGAGCTAATGATAATGCGTTTACCACTGGCATATGCTTTTTTTTCTTGTTTGTTTTTTGTTTTTAAGAGGAGCAGGGGAAGCGTTTCAGGTGACTTTTGCTCAGCAAAAGTTGAGGGGGTTGCGTGATAGGAAAATTGGCTTGAATAATCAGGCCTAAGGGAGGAGAAGCTCAATAGAGGTATTTATTTCAGAAATAGCAATAAATTTAAAAAAAAAAAAAAAGTTAAAGAGATTCTGTGAGCCTCAAATTTCTCTTTCTGTTCTTGGGTACTATTGACTTCCTAGTCACTTTTAACCAAGAATTCTGTGGTCTGTTTTAGGAAGAAACTGGGTCTGCACATCTAATGATGTCTGTTTTAATGATTCATTGGAGGTCGTTGTATTTGGATATTACTTTAATAGGTCTATGTTTGTTAAATTATGAAGCATAATTTGGTGTTATATTTTATGATTGTGGACACAGCTCACCTCCTCTGTTCCTAAATGCTTTCGTATCACTGGGTTTCTCTTGCTTCGTGTTTCTTGTTTTAGGTAGTTTCCTTTCAATGTATGCACTCAAAATAGTCATTCTTTAAAATCCTGCTTATAAAATTCAGATCAATTTTCTTGTAATAATAATTACCAATTTCTAGGACTTCTCTTAAGTTTATTTTCCTAACTAAAAGAAAGCAAATGTCATGTGCTATGTGACCTGGGACTTCTGTTGCGTCGGTATAGGTCACTTCTTTTCATGGTTCTGCTACTGTCAGATACGTGTTTTGTACCAACAACTGGGTGACATGAGGGCAAGATCTGAAAAGACTCTTCCTTATAAAACCAGTGGTATGCAGATGATTCATTTGCATTTTTTGTAATCCTGTGCTGGATACAAGCACTTAATTTTGAAGCTGTGGTATTAAATTTGTAAAGTGAAGTAATTAGTAAAATGGTGGTTGAATCTATTGTGATTGACTCTTCTTTCTTGCTGAAATTCTTTAAATGGTAAGATTTGTTTGTCTTGTTGATATAATTATCAAAAAAGCCTAGTGATTTTTGTGTGGGCTATATCACTTGGTCAGTGTGGCATCACCTGATTTATAAGGGCTGAACATAACAGCTGCGGTTCTTGGATGGCAGCAAGAGCTTAACTAATAGTGCACTGAAGCGGATGGACAAATGCATGTTTAAGAAAACAAAAACCACTCCCCACATAAACGTAGCAGTTCCTGGGTTCCAGTGTTATCCCCAGCACTTGGCATAAAACTGAAAATCACTGTCTTTTTCTAACCCTAATTTCCCTGTGCCCTCCCGGGTATGTTTTCTGACTGTGGGCAGCACCCTAATGGAAAGATTCCAAAGGTAGCACTATTGTAGACCTCTACCTCAGAAGAGGATGTTTGTTTCTCTGCTTAAAATCCTGTTCTGTACTCAGGACGAGGTTTGTGTAGAACAAGATGTAATATAATGAATTTTTTCAGGGGAGACAAATTTTGCAGGCCAGTTCAAGTCTGTCCTATAAAGCTGATAAATTGATGCCCTGAATTACCTGAGCATCACTAGGCTAAAGCTTCATTTGTATTTAATAGTAATGTTTTGAGGCAGAACTGTTATTTGAAAAACTTGCCGCGTTGGAAGAGCTGCAGTGTTGTGGTGACCAGTAAAACCATGGTCCTCTTTTGTATTAGTTCTTGCTGAGAAGACATCCTGGCACAAAAATAAACTATTTGGCTTGACTGCTTTTGAGTCATCTATATGTAATAATGCGTTCTAATTATATGTAACATATTTCTATTTGTTTTCCCTGTTCATTATAAATGTGTAATTTGACTTAATTTAGATTACAAACTCTTCACAGTTGTATATCTGATTGTGCAGTTGTTGCGCAGGCGCTGATTCTTGTGGAGTCTTTGAGACAGTATAATAAAACCCATAAGAAGCTACATTTCTTTAAAATGCTAAGCACAGAGTTATAATCAGGAACTAGCTTAAGGAAGCTGTAAGTCTGCCATACTTAAAGGAGTAGATACAAATTGGTTATCTTTTAAAATTATTTCTTTGTGGACGCTTTAGCCATTTAAAAGCCTCCTCTTACCTTGTAGCAGTCTGCTTTTTTAGTTGATAGTCAAGACATGAAGTACAGCTGAAGGGTACATCTGTTTGTGCTTTAAACACAGGTTTATCTTAGATTCTCCTAGCCAGAGTGTAAAAAGCATCAAGCCAGCGTGTCACGCTTATGTCCTCTGTGGAAGGTGTGGTAATTCAAAACAAATTTCCACCTCTTGACTGAAGCCGTTCAGTTCTGTTAAAAACAAAGACAAAAAAACCCCCTATGTATTATGAAATGACTGATGTTTTCCTGTCATTAACAGTAAAGATTTGGAACTGGAAATACTAATCCACATAAAGCAATATATGGCAATGGGTTAAATTACATTACTAGCCTTAAAAATAAAGGTGAATGTATTTAAGTACACTGTAGCCTTTTATATCTGATTTAGGGAGCTGAAAACAGTGCTGACCTCAAGTGCCAGGTATCTACTATTTTTGCATCTTTAAGCACTAATACTGTTCTCCCTCTCTGCCAGCTGCTGATAGTACCAGGAACTAATATGCATTCTCTTATGTAGCATTCCAGTAAATTGAAATCTAAAACATTTGCCAAATAATTCATATTCTCAGTGAATCAATACACTGTAGTGATTTTTCACAAGAATGTGACAAATCTGCAGTATGTTGCAGAAGGAGGATCATATGCTTATACATTCAAGGTGTTTTGAGAAGCTTACCTCTAAGGAAAGTTTTGATTTTACTTTTTATCACCTTTCTATTATAATTGAAAGTAAAACTTGCTTTGCTGGAAAATTTTTAACCTGGCAGTGTGTGGTGGTGGGGTGTGTGTGTCTTTGTTTTTTTGTGTTTTGGGGTTTTTTTAATACATACTTACATATATATACATATGTATGTATGGGTTTTTGGTTTTTTTCAAAGAAGGATGTCAGGTTCATGAGCTCTTTCTTTCTTTGAAGATCTCTGAATTGATATGGAGGTTTGAATTTCTAGGAAACAGTTGTTTCTTTTTTAAGTATAGCTTTGAAACTTAAAACAATTTGCAGTATGATACCTTTCAGTACCTTGGAGTTTTTGGGAGACTACAT